GTCCAGGCTTTTGCCGAGAGCCCTGGCGGGTGGCCTTGCGTCCCCCCGACGGCTTCCTGGGGGAGCGGGGTGGCGGGCGTCACTGGGAAGGTGCCCCGCCCTGCGGCACTTTGAGCCCCTGACGCTCCAGCCGTCAGACCCCCTGCCCCAGCCGTGGCCTGTTGCTCTGCGCACTTTCCCGAAGGTGGCCTGGGGGGACTGGGCTGCACAGACCCCTGGGGAGGGTCTCGGGACCCTCGGGCCCGGCGTGGGTGGTGGAGCAGCCTGCCCGCTGAGAGCCCGGCAGTGCTGCATTTATTTGGGAGCCAACGAGTCCCCTCAGCTTGCGACGACTCGGTGGGGGAACCTGGACCTGGGGGCTGGGAGGCGGCTCTTCCCGCCCGCGCCCCACGCGCTTCACGCCGCGGGGACACCGGGGCCTGGGAGCTGCTGGGGGCTCAGCCCTGGAGGCATCTCTGGGGAAGAGCAGAGACAGCCCTCCTCACGCGTGTGGCTGTCCCGAGGGTTTGGACACGAGGTTCGATGGGAGTGGCCACGTTCCATCAGCTGCGCTTGGTAGCGGGGCCGGGCGGGCTTCTCGGGGCGGCAGAGCCCCCCGGAGGGGAGGTGCCAGGGGCCTCTGCCTGCGCGGCCACCTCCAGCCCCTGGGTCCCCAGGCAGCGCAGGTCACTCCACTGGCTGGGTGGTGGCTGGGTGGTGGCTCGCGCGAGTGGCTGGGTGAGGAGTGGGTCAGGACCAGTCCAGGGGCCCCTCCCAGCAGCGGGGCCTTCCAGGGGCTTCTGCAGAACCTTCCTTCTGCACCATGCGGTGTGAAAAGGCAGCCACGGGGTGCGGAGCTCAGGGGAGCCCGAGAGGCTCAGTCATGAACTAGTCGCACACAGAAAGACAAAAGCCACGTTTCGTGGCTTCCACAGCAGTGCTGGGCGTGCACAGGCCGCCGGGCGGTGCGTGCCCTGGTGTTGTTCCCGGTTGTTCAGGGATGCCGGCTGGCCCCGTCCCCGGACGGTCTCTGCTCCCCAGGGCGGGGCAGGAGACAGAGCCCGGCCCGAGGTCCAGGCAGGGGCCGCTTCCTCCTTTGTCCTGGGCACGGCCCCCTCTCTGCCCCACAGTCAGCCGGTTTCCTCCATCCACACGTGGGTGTTTGTGCCTTTTTAAAAAATGAAAATAAAAGACCACATTATTCAGGAATCCAACCAGACGGGCCAACAAGACAGAACAAACCCTGGCTCGGGCAGGGCAGGAGGCAGGGGCGCATCTCAGCACAGCAGGGAGGGTGGAACCTTCTGGAAGAGGAGATGGGGCTGCTGGGAGTGGGCTGTGGCACTTTTTCGCACTCGTGTCCATAGTCAGATGGTCTCTGAGCCTGAGCCTCGCTCCGTGGACACCGCAGCTGCAGGAGGCCTGCACTGCATGCTCCGTGACGGGGCAGCGCCCTTGGGGCCCACCGAGGCCAGGGGTGTTCCACTCGAAGGGCCTCGTGGTGGCCTCGGCTGCCCCGTCACCTCCGGAGGGGCCTGCAGGGTGCTTGCTCGGCCGCAGACGGTGCCAGCACAGGAACACGGGTCGTCGAGGCGGGTGTGGGGATTCCTGGGCTTTTAGCCCTGACACTCAGAACACGCTGCACGCAGCAGCCCGAGCTGTGCCTCCAGGAGCCACCACTGTCACGGCACCGCCGTGCGTGAGTGCATGTGCGTGGCGTGTGCATGTGGATGAGTGGTTGTGGGTAAGTGTGCATGTGTGCACACGGAGTGAGCATGCGTGTGCACGTGTGTGAGAGGAGGCTCACGTAGTGGCCACCTTTGCCGGGTGCGTCCCGGAGTACCCGAGTCCCGGGGGCTGTGGGCCTGGCAGAGCTGCTGCTTCTCCTTTCCAGCCGCGGTTGGTTCCGCACACCTGGGTCTGCCCAGGAGTTGTGGGCTGAGCGAGTCAGCGCAGGGGCAGCCCGGCGGCACGTGGCCCCGCGAGTGACCGTCTGGGTGTCCAGAGCCGTCCGGCCAGTGCCCGGAGTAGCCCCACTGGCGTCCACCGCAGACGGAGCCGAATTCCCTCTCCCCACATGTGCCGGGGGAGGGGGTCTTCGGAATTTCTGTTCTGAGATTTTCCAGAGACGTTCGGGCATAGAATCCCATTAGCAGCAACGGATTTTCGAGCAAAAACACCATCCTCTGGGCGTTTGTGAGACAGTTTGAGCCTCGCCGGGACACAGATGTTTGCATGTGGAGCAGCCGCCCCGCCCTGCGAGAGGGGACGGGGTGTTCCGCTGTTTGGAACACGAGTTCTGATCCCAAACAGCCCAGCCTGCCCTTTGGACGGTGATCGATCGTGGCTCCTTGGTGTTCCGCGCGGGGGTCAGGTGGGGACAGTTGGGGGCTGTTTGATCACAGCCCTGGGTGCCGCGGCCCGCCACACAGCCCGGAGAAGCGGGTGAGGGCTCGGGCAGAGGGGACGGCGCTGCGGCGCGCTCCTGGGCTGTCGCACACACGTGGTGGCCAAGACTGTGGGTGTGAAACTGTGAACATGTGTGCTCGTGAGCGTCTGTGCGAGCGCTGAGTGAGCACGTGTGTGCGTGTGCGTGCGTGTGCATGCGCGCTGCCTGGGTCCTGCTCTGGCGCTGCCTCGCAGGGCTCCGTGGCCGCGCACCCGGCCCTCGCGTCTCCAGCTGCAGTTTCTTCACCGTACGACGCACTGACACCCAAGACACCGGTTCTCGCAGGGCCTAAGGGGGGCGCTCAGCACCCAGCGCCGTGCCTGGGAACGGGGCGGGCGCCCGCACTTACACGTAGCCGGATTCCCGGGTCCGTGGAATATTCTGGATGGGAGAGAACTTGTTCCTGTCCAACCAGATGCTTCTGTTGATGGGGAAACTGAGGCAGAGGAGGACGCCAGCACCTTCCGGCTCGTGCGCTGGTGCCTGGCAGCGGTGTGGAGGGAGGCTCTTGCCCCCGTCCTGGTTTGACCGCCCCAGGTCCCCAGGCAGAGAGCCGGCAAGAGGGCCGCGGCCCAGGGCAGGCGGTGCCGGAGCTGGGAGGGCGGAGGGCAGGCCTGCGGCCCACTGTGAATGGCACCCGGGGCCTGGCAGCGGCTCCTCCTTCCCCGGCGCTCACGTTCCCCGGCCTGCTGGCCTCGCGGCTGCCCTCCCCCCTCGCTCGGCGCCGAGCGCACCACCTGGCAGTGGGGCCGGACGGGACCCACCGGCACCACTCGCGCCTGGGCTTGGCAGTCATTGGTGCGCGGGCGCTGTTATTTCTTGGTTAAGCGTGTCCCTGTGCACAAGCCGGCGTCCCTAAGTGCTGCCCTGTGCGGGAAGCGGTCAGACGGGGTGGGGACGTCCGCAGACTCTGGAGACGCGCAGGTCCACGCCGTGAGGCTCGGGGAAGTCGGCCGAGTCAGACCACAGGTCCCGACGCTGCTGGCCCGTCTCAGGAATCGCCCAGGACCCCCTCCTGAAGGCGGTTTTGGGGCTGATGTCTGTGCGCCCGCGGAGGCCGTGGGGCGGGGGCGCTGGCCCTGCCCTGTGTGCCTGGGCCCCACGGGGCCGGCGGGGGTGATGGGGACGCCAGGAGTCCGTCTACTTGGTTTTGTCCCGCGGAGGGTTTTGATCAGTGACGCAAAACTTCACAGAAATGCAAAACGCGTCATCCGTTAGGTTGGTTTTAGTTGGCCTCACGATTCTCAAATTTGTTATTTAAAACCCCAAATTGAGCAACCGTGTTGGTTTCCTTTCACAGGCCAGCGCGCGGTCCCGGGGACGGGCGGGCAGTTCTGGAAGGCGGGCGCTCCCTCTGGGGTCCTCTGACTGTGCGGGACGCAGCGGGAGGCGTCGCGGGAAGAGGGCGGTTCCGGGCCCTGGCGCTTCCCCCCGCCCCGCGTGTGAGGCTGCCCGCTGAGCCTCCCTGCCCGGCCCGGGCCCTGGTCGCGCACCTGTGCCGGCCATGCTGCTCGGAGGAGCCGAATCCTGGCAGAAGATCACGGCGCGAGGCTTTTTCCTCTCTTTTAGTCAAGGCTGAGTTTCCTTAACCAGGAGGATGTCTGGCTTCCCACCACCTGTGTGGGCGTCGCTCAATTACCGATGATCACGGGGGCGGGGAGGGCAGAGGGGACACCTCCCAGGAGCACGAGAGGCCCTCACACCTGGGGCTCATTGCTGCGGTCCCGGTCTTATACGGTTCACACGGGCTCACACGGGCTCACACACCATGGGTTCACACGGGCTCACACACCATGGGCTCACACAGCCTCACAAGGGCTCACACGGGCTCACACACCACAGGCTCACACAGCCTCACAAGGGCTCACACGGGCTCACACACCACAGGCTCACACAGCCTCACAAGGGCTCACACGGGCTCACACGGGTTCACACGGGCACATACCACAGGCTCACAAGGGCTCACATGGGGACCAGGACACACTGACGGAAACTGGCGCAGAGCGGGGAGCCCCGCGGAGGGGAAAGGCTGTGGTGTGAGCAGCGGGTCCCCCAGGGCCAGCGGAGGACGGACATGGTGGGGTCCGGGGACAGGCGGGGACCGCCCCTCGGGCGTCTAGCGCAGTCGCAACTGAAGAATTGCAGCTGCAGCCGGCAGCGTTTTCTAAGCTCCAGTTTTACCACAGAACAGTGGCGTGGGGCCAGGCTCTTCCGGGTGTTCTCGGTTGGCGGGAGAGCAGGGGTGGGGCCGCTGCCTCAGTGCCCCTGGGGCTGGGGGGTCCTGGCCGGAGACCCCCTCGCAAAAACTCAGCCGCCTGCCTCCTCCGGCTGCCGAGCGGAGCGAGTGGGGGTTCCTCTGGGCATTCTTGACAGAGCCCCCCATCCTCTCTCAGCTGTCCTGGGTGTGGCAAGCAAAGGGTTAGAGGTCCCAGGAGCTGGTCACCTGCCCCCTGGCTGGTGCGCTTTCCTGCTGGGGGGAAGGTGGGGTGGAGGGAGAGCCGCCCAGGAGGCTGGGAGCCCTGGGCGTGGGCGGGAGGGCGGAGCCAGGCGGCCCCACCTCCAGAGCAGACACCGCCTGCCGCCTGCCCGGCCGCACACAGCCCGATGGCTCCCGACCCCAGCGGCCGCCTGGGCCTGCTGCTGCTCACCTGCTGCCTCGCGGCCGCCCGGGCCCAGCTGCTGGGCCTAGACTGGCTGTGGTCCAATAAGGTCACCAGCCCTGCGCCCACCCTGGCCTCCGAGCCCCAGGGCCGCCTTCCTGTGCAGCTCACCACTCACGCGGCCACCCGGGATGGCCCCACGGAGCGAGGGGCAGTCCCCGCCAGCCCTGAGCCACCCCCGGAGGTGCTGGAGGGTGGCCGGGCTGGGCCCCCTGACGCCCCCGCCACGGCCACCGCCGCTGCCGTGAGCCCCAACGCGAGGGAAGAGAACATCGCCGGAGTCGGAGCCAAGATCCTGAACGTGGCCCAGGGCATCCGGAGCTTCGTCCGGCTGTGGGATGATGCCACCCCCACCGAGAGCACGGCCGGGGTGCAGACAGCAGCCCCCGAGGCCCCCCTGGACTCCCCCACCCACGCTGGGGCCTCCAGCGCCCCCCGGGAGGACAGGACAGCACTCTGGCCGCTCAGTGGTGCTCCGTGGGCTCCAGGCGCCCACACGACCGGGGCTGCCACACTGCCCACACCCACCCTGGCCGCCACCTCCCGGGGCAGGCCCCAGGCACCACTCCGGGAGCCCTCAGTGCCACCACGGTCCCCAGGTAGAGCGTCTCTCTCCTCCGTGCCGGGCGGGGCTCCTCCCCGGGGAAGCCGGCAGTCCCCCGGGCGGCCCCCGGATCTGGACGGCGAAGGACCCTCGCCCGTGGCAGCCGGTCCCGGCCAGTGGCACCCTGACGTCGGCAGGCACACGCGGCTTCTGCATCCCCTGGTGACGGGCTCCCTGGGCGCGCACGCTGCTCTCTTCTCTGACTCTCCGGGCACTTGGTCTAGAACAGCGGTCACGGCTTTAATTGGGGACGGCGGGGCTTGGGGCTCCCACGCTGCTGACTCTGTGGGGCCTGGTCTTGCTAATCACTCTGCTCCTCTCGGGGCCGGCCGCTGCCTGCCCCTGCCGCCCTCCCTGCCCGCCTGCGGCCGCCTGGGCATCCGGCGCTCCTGGCTGCCCAACCACCTGCACCACCAGAGCGGCGAGGAGGTGCAGGCCGCCGCGCAGGAGTGGGGGGGCCTCCTCCGGACGCGCTGCCACCCCTTCCTGGCTTGGTTCTTCTGCCTGCTGCTGGCCCCCCCGTGTGGCCCGGCCCCGCCACCCGCCCCTCCGCCCTGCCGCCAGTTCTGCGAGGCCCTGGAGGACGCGTGCTGGGGCCACCTGCGTAGGGGCCAGCTGCCCGTGGCCTGCGCCGCCCTCCCGGCCCAGGAGCACGGGTACTGCGTGTTCGTTGGGCCGGCTGCAGGTAACGGGCCGGCCACCGTCCCCCCACCCATCCCTTCCTGCCTCGCCAGGTAAGCTCGGCGGGGCTGTGAGCCTGGGGGGCCCGTCCCACCTGCAGCCCGGCAGCGGCTGCCTCTACATTCGGGGGCCCGGGTGCTCCCTGAGCATCTTAGTGCGTTTAGTCCTCACCGTGGAGGGGAAACCGAGGCATGGGGTGGCGACTCGACCACCGGAGGAGCTGGGATTCCCACGGCACTCTGGCTGCCCCGTCCTTGCTCTGGTCACTAAGCCGCGCTGTCTGACGTCCTTCCCGTGGAGCCCCAGCTTGCGGGGGGTGAGAGGGGCTGCAGGGGTGGATGGGACGGGGCGAGGCGCTCGCTCTGCTGGAGGTCGAGGGTGCCCAGGGCCTCCTGCGCCTGCTCACGTGGGCCAGCCAGGGCGGGGGAGGGACGGGGGGGCTCGTTTCTAACCCCCGCCTGGGCCAGGGCAGCCTAGGAAAGGCCCCGGGCGGCCCTGGGCCCTGAGCTGCGCCTGCTCCTCAGCACCCCTGGGCCGCTCCCGGCACCTGTGCAGCCCAGGTGGGCAGGGGTGTCCGTCCTCTCCACTGTCCTCCCCTGCCGCTGCGGGGGGGTGGCCTTGACCCTGGGTCGCTGGGCTTTGGAGCTGGGCTGGCGGGCGGGCGGCTGCACCGAGCCCAGGTGGCAGTGCCGTGGTGAGAGTGTGGCGTCGGTGCCGCCCGAGCGGCTCCCTGAGGGTGCTTGGCCACCCCGGCGGGTTCCAGGGCCAGTTGCCCGTTCACTCAGCAGAGGCCCCGAGCCTCCGCAGCCCCTGTGCCGGGCCTGGGTGCAGGAGGGGCCGCAGGCAGGGCAGGGACAAGTGCCAGCGACAGGCTGTCCCCAACCCCAAGAGGGCGGGGCTGGAGGAGCTGGAGCGGAGAGGGTGGGCGGGGAGGGCTGCGCGGGGGTGGTGCCGTGGCTGCGGCCTGCAGGACCTGGGTTGGCCTGCAGGACCTGGGGTGGCCGAGTGTCCGGGCAGAGGAGCAGTGAGCACAGCGCTGCCCTGGGATGGGCTGGTGCCTGCAGAGGTGGGGGCCACGCCCAGGGCCGTCGGCCTGGGGGGCTCAGATCTCATCCCCAGGGCAGCTGCAGCCGCAGTGAGTGGCCTGGGCGGCCAAGCATGTGGGGCGGGGCAGCCCCGCGGGAGGCCCGGCAGGCCCAGCCCACCCGTCCGGCCGGCCGCTCCTCTGCCAGGAGCTGTGGGGGAGGGGGAGGCTGCTGCTGGCAGGAGGGGAAGGGCCAGGCGCCCCGTTGGCCCTGTGTGCCCAGCCTTCAGCTCTGAGCAAGCACAGGCGGGGGGGTGGCGCGGGTCTTGCCCCCCCCCACCCCGAGGCCCAGGCAGGGCTGCGTGGGGCGAGGAGTTCCTGACTGCAGCTGGCCTGGTCGGCCGCGCGGCCTGAGAGAACTTCTCACGGAACATCTGGACGTGTTGGCAGAGTCCCGCCAGCTCTGAGGGAGGCTGCGTCCAAGCAGGGTCCTGGGGGACGCCATGAGGGCCGCACCCCCTCAGGGGGATGGGGGGGTCAGGCCTGGCCTGGCTGCGGAGGGCCCCCCCTCCTCTGGCCTCTCGCTGCCCCCAGCTCCTCCGCATGCCTGCTGGGCCCTGTGCTGGTGGACACCCCCCTCCAGGGGCAGAGGGGAGGGAGGCCCTGGTGGGGTGTTAAGGGGTGGGGAGGTCCAGCCCCTCCCCCACCCAGAGGTCGCCACCCCCCGCCCCAGGATGGCTGAGGGCACGGGCTCTGCTCCCAGCACCAGGACCCCAGCCGCCGCTGGCCCCGGGCTGTCCTTGGGCGCGTCAAGAGGCCGTGGGGGTCAGGTAGGCTGCGCCCCTGTGGCCCTGTCCAGGGTCCTGGGCACCGTTTCAGGCCCTCTGAGCTGCCCCCCACATGGGCCTGCAGCCCTTCCTCCCCCTCTGCTTCCTCTGCCCCCCAGGAGAGTGGGAGCAGGGGCTGGCCTGGGCGTGGTGGCTCCGTGCAGCTCGTGCTGGGTGATGGGTGAGGGGAAGCGGGTGAGGGGAAGCGTTGGGAGGGAGAGGGTCCCTGCGGAGCCCCCGCTGCACTGGAGCCAGTGGGCAGCCGGGACCCCATGGAAAGGGATTGAGGCCCCATACGAGGGGTGGGGGTGCACTCGGGTTATTCTGCCTGCCCAGTGTCCCTGGGTGGGCCAGCGGGGGCTGTCCCTCCTGTAGCTGCCAAGAGCCAGGGAGCGGGCTCAGGCTGCTCTGGGGCCTACCACTGCCTCCAGGAAGCCTCCCAGGTTGTCCCAGTGGGGCTCAGGTCAGAGGGGCTGTGGTGGCATCACCACAGGACCCTGAGGGGCGTCCTTGCAAACGCTTCCTGCCAGGTGGTGTTGCCCCAGGATCCTGCAGGCAGGTGTGCCTGGCCCGGTCAGTGAGGATGCCGCGGGCCTGGCCTGCAGGAAGGGAGCCAGGAGGGGCCTGGCCACCTGGCTCCAGCCTGCTGCGGATGTCTTGCCGGGGGCCAGTGGGCGTCCCCTGTTAGTTCAGGCTGTCCCCTGGGGGCCGGGTGAGCCCGTGCACAGAGGGTGCTGGGGAGGCGGTTCCACACGCGTGGGCTCGGGCGGGGCCGAGCCCCACAGCCCACCGTGATCCTCTGTCCTGGGAAGTGGGCCGCACGTGGCACCCCACCGGGCATTGGAGTTCAGTGGGGGCCACGGCGGCCACAGGCTCTCATGCTGGGGGCCCGGGGGCTGCTGCCGGGGACTCCCACAGCGGCACCTCCCTTGTGTCCTTGCCGCGGCGCTGGTATCTTGCTCCTTCAGTCAGCGTAGGACTGTAGAAAATGTTCTTCTTCCTTAAGCGCTCCGGTTAACTTGAGGTTTCTGTTTAACCTTCATCTAAGAGCACGACCACCTGCATGGAAAACACTCACGCCTGTCTCTCACCTCTTGGCGACCTGCAAATATTTTCCGGATGACGCCGGCCGGCCGAGCTTCCCACAGCCGGTGCCTCCCCGATGCGCGGGAGTGATGGGCGTGTAACCCCGCCGGGCGCCGAGCTCAGACCGCGTGCGGGTGTCTGCAGGAGCCGGTCCTTGCGACTCCGCGGGAACCAGACGCGGGCAGGAGAAGCTGCCCACGGCTACCTGCGCTTCCTTTTGTATATTTTAGTTTTTGTATAAGTTTAAAGCACACGACGGGATGATTTCCTGTGCATACACACTGTGAAGTGATCGCCACGGTGAAGCCCGGTAACAGCTGCCACTTACCTGGTCACCCCTTTCGCTGTGGTGAGGCCGCGGCTCTCCCTGGCGCAGCACCGGGTGTCGTGACGGCAGCCACCATCGTGCGCCGGCGCTCTGGGACTCACCTAGCGCGACGGAAGCTTCGTTTCTCCCCCGGCCCTGGCACCGGCTCCGGCCCTGTGAGTGGGTCGCATGGCTGTCTCTCCGAGCCCCGCCCTGTCACTTTGCATAATCGTCCAGGTGCGTGCGTGGTGGCGCACACGGCAGGATTTCCTGGTTTTTGAGGCTGGATGGTATTCTGTTGTGCACACGCCATGTTTCCTTTATCCGTGTACTGTTACTGGACACATAGGTCCACGGTGTGTCCTGGCCGCGGCCGGGAACACGGCCGTGCAGACGCCCCTCTCACGCCCGGATCGCGGTTCCTGTGGCTGTACCCAGATGTGGGGCTGCCGGATCCTACGGCCGTTCTTTCCTTAACTTTCCGAGGAACACCCCTACTGTTTCCACGTGGCTGCGCGCTTCACACTCCCACCCGTGTGCAAGGGCCCCCTTCCCGCACCTTCGCCGACGCCTGCTGCCGTTCGTCTTCCTGACGACAGCCGCTCTGACAGGCGTCCTTTTGCTTAGCATCTCCCCGGTGGCGAGTGACGCTGGACACGCACTCAGGTGCTGTGGCCGTGCCCGTGTCTTCTTTGCAGAAACGTCCATCCAGGTCCTTGGCCCGTTTGTGAATCAGGTTGTTGTTGACTTTTAGGAGCTTTTGGGTTTTTTGCTATTGAATTGCCTGAGTTCCTTGTACATTTTGGATGCTAGCCCGATCGGACGTGTGGTTTGCAGACGTGCCTCCCGGTGTCCGCCTGCCCCCGGCCTGCTCTGCTGTGCCGTGTCGGCTCCCTCCTGCGTCCTACAGCACCGGGCTGCCAGCGTCTGCGGGGCGCTCGCTCCCACTCCGAGGGAGGCTGGTGGCAGGACGTGGCCCTCACCTGGGTGTGGCAAGGGGGGGTGCGTCCACCCCCAGTCCCACTGAGGAGGAGGGACGTGGCCCCCACGCAGTGGCGGCTGGACTCACC